TTCTTCTTGCCACTCTTCCATAAAGGCCAGATTTGTGCAGTGTACGACTGATTGTTGTCCTATGGACAGACTCTCCCACCTCAGCTGTAGATCTCTGCACTTCATCCAGAGTGATCGTGGGCCTCTTGGCTGCATCTCTGATCAGTCTTCTCCTTGTTCCAGATGAAAGTTTAGAGGGACGGCCGGGTCTTGGTAGATTTGCAGTGGTCTGATACTCCTTCCATTTCAATATGATTGCTTGCACAGTGCTCCTTGGGATGTTTAAAGCTTGGGAAATCTTTTTGTATCCAAATCCGGCTTTAAACTTCTCCACAACAGTATCTCGGACCTGCCTGGTGTGTTCCTTGGTCTTCATGATGCTCTCTGCGCTTTGAACAGAACCCTGAGACTATCACAGAGTTCATAGATCCTCAGTGAACTTCTGGAGTGAGTTTGCTGCACTGAAAGTAAAGGGGCCCAATAATATTGCACGCCCCACTTTTCAGTTTTTTATTTGTTAAAAAAGTTCGACACATCCAATAAATTTCATTCCACTTCACAATTGTGTCCCACTTGCTGTTGATTCTTCACAAAAAATTAAAATGTTATATCTTTATGTTTGAAGCCTGAAATGTGGCAAAAGGTTGAAAAGTTCAAGGGGCCGAATACTTTTGCAAGGCACTGTAGTATTTTTTTCAGAAGACTCTAATATCAATGAAGTTTGTGGTTTAATAAAAACAATTTGTTTTGTCTTGTTTCTTTCAGAAAATGTCCAGAACAGTTACCGTGTTCCTGACAGTTCTGTGCTTTCTGTTGCTCAGACCCTCTGACTGTAGAGGCAGCAAGATTCTGGTGATGCCCGTTGATGGCAGCCATTGGATCAACATGAAAGTTATCCTTGAAGAGCTTCACTCCAGGGGCCATGAAATCTCAGTTCTGCGCCAGGCTAAGAGCTGGTTTATCTCCAGCAACTCCTCTATGTACACCACTATTAGCATCCCAGTGAAAGATGAAAGGAGGGAGAAGAACTTTTACAATGAATATGCCCAGAGTGTCATGGATTGCCGCAGTTATCCCACTTTTATACACATATTGTGCCAACTGCGCTTGACAACATCTATTTTAGCAAATGCACAAAACAAAATAGGCAGAGCAGCTGCAAATGTTTTAGACAACCATGGGTTTGTGAAGAAATTACAAGATTCTAAGTTTGACTTAATGTTGACGGACCCGTCTAACTCTTTAGGAGTTATTCTGGGTAGGTACCTCAAGCTACCAATAGTTTTTAATGTGCGCTTGATCAATGGAAAAGCTCAGTTTATTGTTGCTCCTTCACCTGTCTCTTATGTACCTGTTCCAGGAAGTGAACTTGATGATAACATGGATTTCGTACAGAGGACAAAGAATATGTTGTACTATCTCTACAGTGTTTATGAGCAATACTTTTTGATTAACCCTGCTTACTCAGATGTGTTTGAGCGTCACTTCCCTCCTGGGACTGACTTGTTGTCTTTGCAGCTTTCAGCTGATATCTGGTTGTTCAGGACAGATTTTGTCTTTGACTTCCCTCGGCCCACCATGCCCAATGTGGTCTACATTGGAGGGTTCCAGTGCAAACAGGCCAAACCCCTCACTGCAGAGTTGGAGGCATTCATGCAGAGTTCTGGGGAACACGGGGTGGTCGTCATGTCTCTGGGGACACTGGTGTCAGCTCTACCCCCTGAGGTCACCGAGGCTATCGCTGCTGCTTTTGGTCAGCTCCCTCAAAAGGTCATTTGGAAGTTTGAAGGTGAAAAGCCTTCTTCTCTGGGCAACAACACCTTGCTGGTGAACTGGCTGCCCCAGAAAGACCTCCTGGGACACCCCAAGACCCGTGTCTTTGTAACCCATGGAGGAACAAATGCCATATATGAAACCATCTACCACGGTGTTCCTGTTCTGGGTATGCCCCTCTTTTTCGACCAGTTTGACAACTTACTAAGACTGAAGGTCCGTGGTGCAGCTCAGATGGTGGAGGTCCGATCACTGACCAAAGAGAACTTCCTGGAAGCATTAAAGGATCTCATAGAGAATCCCTCTTACCGCAAGAACATCCAGCACCTCTCTCTGCTTTACCGAGATCGTCCAATCTCTCCCTTGGATGAAGCCATCTTCTGGATCGAGTATGTCATCAGGAACAAAGGAGCTGCCCACCTGAAGTCTGCAGGTTTCAGCCTACCTTGGTATACCTACTTCTGTCTGGATGTGGCCGCTTTATTTATGGTCGTAACTGGAACCTTCATCTGGGGTTTAGTTCTGGTCTGTAGGCGTCTCTGCTGCCGGTTCAAGAAGAAGATGAAAGCAGAATAAATGATTAAAAGCTAATTGTTAAATGTTAAGGAAATGTTCAATCGTGGCCAAAGGTTTTGAAAGTGATCATTTTTGTCATTTTTGGTTTCAACATTTCTATATTTGATTCATAGTGCATGTGTATTGTTGTACTGAAAAAGTTTTTAATCGGCACACAAGTTTTAATCATTTTTATTAGCTTGTATACCAACTTTGTGTAGAGACATTATTTTTTTCATTCAAAGTATCGGTAGCTCTTTGAACAAATTTAATTTGGAGAAATTTTGCATTTTATGAAGGACAAGAAGAGAATAGTTTGTCATTGTCATGGACAATTATAGTGTACAATTTTTATACCAGATCATTCTAATGCAAATATAAAAACCATTATAATGAAAATAAAATTTGTTATATCAATCAATTCCCATTTTACATTAATGATTATCATTGCTCTTATGTAATATTCCTGCAGGAAGCACCCAAGTTATATCAGAAGTGCTACAGCTAGCAAGCTAACATTTACGTATAACCATAAAATTTTATGAAAATTACAAGGTAGTGTGAAATTGGTAGTAAAAGTACATAAAAACTGCTTACCTGAACCGCTACAAAGACGGCAGCGATCCATTTTGGGGGGTTTCCCCGCTCAAATTAAGTGCTAGCTCATAAATTCAGTTTAAATTAACCCTCAGATGGTCTAACGGGGAAAAATCAGCCACGCTTTTATTTTTGTCA